CCTACACGGAGAAAATTTTATATAAAAAATTACTATGTACGGCAGAAGTCGCGGACCATGAAACCAAAAATTTTTTCATATGTGAAAAACATAGTAAAAATTTTTGTAACTCCTTCATGGTTCGCGAGAAAATTTTCTCCGTGTATTTACATAAAAGTTTATTTTTAGTGTGTTTTTAGTGTTAAATTAGCATTGATGAGTGATTATTTGCCATTGTAAACAATTCACAATGTAAATTATTCATGAGATAAGAGCGATAACTTGATATTTTGGAAAAAAACAATGTCGTACGTCTGCAGGAAGCAGATATCAACGTAGGGAATTCTGCTACCTAACAGGAAAATGTTTAAATCTTACTGGTGACTAAGTACAGATAACGTCGATTATGTGAGATAACACTATATATGGACTTTCCTCAACTATATTATGCCCCCAGTGTTTATAAACTTTTAGTTCGTGTCTGACTTGTGTAAACGACACAAGTGTGAAAAAATGCTTTCTTCATTAAATCCGGTTTCGCGATACGTCGCGTCTGGAGTTTTAAATCAACATTGTTCACGATGCTTTTCTACGTTGCATGCTAATTTTCGAGGTAAGTAAAAAATGTCACAATTAAATCAATTAAAGATCAATTACATGATGAGTTAAAAGATCATAAATGTGATGAATTAAAAAATTATATTTGACATTGGTCTGTAATGTCCATCGTGTGATAAATTTGTATTAATAACCATTGCAGAAAGACGACAGCTGCGAAAATCAATTATTCAAGCGAGGGCTAATTTTTGTCAAGCAAACAAAGCTGCTCATATGTTCAATCCTGGTGAATTTCCAATATTAGATAAAACCGTTGGACAGTTATTAGGCGAAGCGGCTGCAACGTGGCCGGAGCGGACCAGCGTCGTTTCGATCCCGCAAAACATTCGTCTAACGTTCTCCGAACTTCTTCGACGGGCTGACACGTTGGCCGCCGGTTTCAAGAAGTTGGGCATGAAGAAGGGCGATCGACTGGGCATTTGGGGTCCGAATAGTCTCGAGTGGCTCATAGCTTCCCTGGCTGCTTCAAGGGCAGGATTTATCGTCGTCGCTATTAATCCCGCTTATCAACAGAATGAACTAGTGTACTGTCTGCAAAAAGTTGGCGTGAAAGCGATCGTCTCACCCGATATATTTAGAACGCAGAACTATCCGCAGATGCTGCTCGCCGCCAAAGAAATGTGTCCCACTTTGAAACACATCATCATTTATTCCGCTGATCATGTGACGTAAGAATTATTATCTTCGTAAACTTGATAACATTATTAAGAGATCATTCGTGACATTATGACAAGCTATAAATTATCCTATTTTTCTTCAACATAATTCGTGATAATTGCTTCTTTAAATATCACCAATAAGCAGCGTTTTAGTAAATAAACATCATTTTATGACGCGTTTTATTGTGCAATTAATACGATTTTTCTTTCTCAGATGATTGTAGACATGAGCGCGCGCTTATAATCTTTCGTGAACATTTAATGTTCACACACTACGTAACGTTCGCCTCACTGATTCGTGAATATCGCGTGACCCTTCGCACTTTGACTGACAGGAACCTTCTGCCTGACTTTACGAAACGGATTAAGAACATGCCGTGATTACTGTATCAAACGTCGCGTACACTATCATTTTTGTAGATATTAACATATGTGCACATTCGATACGATTGTCCATCAAATTTTAAAAATTCAACAAGTTAATTTCTTACAATCGCGATTGTTGTTTGTACTTAATACAATTCTTTTGTTATTTTAAGAAAAAATAATATAATATATAAAATTATAGAATAAAATTTGTTTTTATATAAATTACATAAAAGTATATAAAATTTAGCTATATTTAATTTATGTATAAATTAAAAAGTAACACTATATACGTGCTCTTATATATCTTTATATCGTTTTGACATTTCGATTAAGAAATATCATAACAATATGAATATATTTGATGATAAATGGCTATACGGTATAAGTATTCCGTTTCATGACATGAGAATAGCGTATCGATTTGAGGTTGAAAAGAAGGCGAAGATTGAACGGCTTAAAATAGTGGAAAGAATGACGAGATTTAAAGTGAAACAGTTTCGATGTCGAAGCGAGTTGTTCACCAACAATCTCGTCAGCATTTTCAAATTCTTTTTTGCGCATTTTTGTCATGCACCTTGTTGTAATATCCGCGAACACGAAATCTCGCGTATTGCATGTTTTCCTTTTACAGAGTACTATTGTTCTCAAACTTTTACCGACCAACCGATTTGATTAACAACCTCGTCGTATAAAAGAATCATGGCGCAATTAGGTTAATGGCTTTACCGAGGTCTATCCATTTGCGTTCGCTAACACCATGTCATTGAGAGAACGAGTAATTGTGTTCTGAACGAGTTGTAAGTGATATTAGCACGTTTTATTTATAGCGGTACGCATCGTTTCGCTGATGTCGAGGCATCGCCGACAAAAGCGGAAGTGGATGCGATTGCTGCTGAGCAGACTGAAATATCATGCAACGACGGATGCAATATACAGTTCACGTCCGGTTCCACCGGAAGGTCAAAGGCTACACTAATTTCGCATAAATCGCTCGTAAACAATAGCAAAGAGGTGAGATGCGAAATTAGATATTAGTCAATTGCTTTGTAACTCTTCTCGTAAGATTAGTCAAATAATTAGAAAGTTATTTAAAATATATTAGTTTTGACTCACCAGTTAATATGGCAAGATAACAGTTTAATTTCTGTGTCGGCAGGCTACGCAAAGAGCGAAGATAAATATCGAGAACAAAATATGTTTAAACATGCCACTGTTCCACGCATTTGGGATGGTGATGGGACAATTACTCATCCTTCACACAGGAAACACTCTCGTTATGGAAGGACACTACTTCGATCCGATAAAAACCTTGAAGGCGATAGCGCAAGAAAAGTGTGCCGTAACGTACGGAACGCCAACTATGTGGGTAAGCAAGGACAAGTGAGATGCAAGTTAGATTGTTAGGAAAAAATTTCCATTCGAGATAATAGATAAAGCTAATTTCACAATAACAGTTTCATGATAATAGTCGCGTACGCAACGTTCGCGTACACGAAAATTGTACAATTAAATTATTTAAATATAACGTTAAGCGTTTATAACAACATATGACACTTTTATGTAGAAACGAGTAAAATATTTAGAATAATTTTTATCGATTAATTGCGTTAAATTTTGAAAAAAAAAAAATGGTTTCTAATCAGATATGTGTCGTATATGTAACATGCGCACATTTAAATATTATCTTTTTAAATATTATCTTTTTACTAATTTACAATACTAATCATATAAAATAATAATAATGATCAGTTAATGGTATTTACTGACATCTTGATATCCAAAGCGTGATGTAGCAATAATAAATATACCTTTCTGATATTAAAAGATTACATAATAGTAATTCAATTGCAGTAAACACCGATAATTTTTGATAATACTTAATCAGCGCGCAAATTTAATATAATAAATAATATAGATTATTTTTATACTTAAAATTATGTTTTCAAAAACTATGCAGCAAATATAAAAAATGGATTTTATATTTTTATTTAGATTTTCACCACGAATTATTTTTTCGTTGGTTTACTTGATATTCTGTGCAATAGTATTTTTTATTTTTCAGTTTTCAGTTGTCATTTTTAGAGAATAAAGTTGATAGAAAATTGATATTCCAGTGTTGAATTCTGAATATCATTTACATATGATTTCACTACTAGGTGAACTTAGTCGAGGCGCAGCAGCGGTTACAGCTACCGATAGACAGCCTTCAGGCAGGAATTACCGGTGGTGCACCAGCTTCTTCTGAACTCTTCAAGCGAATACGAGGAGTGCTTCGCTTCGACGACATAATGGTAAGTTTGACGAAAGTCCTAATATCCGTCATGCAATGCACTTATAATTAGATGTATATTATAAATTTTGAGAGACAAGATTTTAATCTAAATTAAAATCTAAATTATTTATATTACATAATTTTTTCTCTCTCATGAGATCAACTTTTTCCATTGCAGAGCATATACGGTCTCACCGAAACGACGGCTATCGTATTTCAATCGATTCGCGGGGAGAATAAACACTTTGCGGAGAACACTGTAGGCCATTTGGCGAATCATGTTGAAGCAATGGTATATTTTCGGCTTTTAATTTATTTCGGCTCAGTAATTTTCTCTAAATAGATTCAGATTTTAAGACTTTATCATATATTTGGCGAAAAGGTTGTCGATCAAAATGGTTTACCGGTCCCGTTTGGAACACGTGGCGAACTTTGGACACGCGGATATTGCAATATGTTATATTATTGGGACGACGAAGAAAACACAAAGAAGACTTTAACGCAGGATGGTTGGCTGAAAACTGGCGATCAGTTTATCCTTCAAGAAAACGGATATGGTGTTATAGTTGGAAGAATTAAAGACATGCTAATTCGCGGAGGAGAAAATATCTTTCCTAAGGTACGATTCTAAATGTTACTATTAATAGCGCAATGCTTGTTAATTAATGCATTTCATTTTAATGCATTGAAGAAGAAAAAATTGATTAATATTTACATATATTAGATATATTTATTACGTCAGCTGATAACGACAATCTCGTATTCTTACACTGCCATATCGAAAAGATTAATTTTATTTCTGTAATTAATCAACAATATTTCATACATTTCGCAAATCAATTATCTAAAATAAATTTTCTAGACTTAGTAGAGAAATCTCAGTTTTCAAACAATATTTGTTTCAAATGGTTTCAAATGGCTGTCGTTTTTCTGCAAAATCTTCAAGATATCAATAATTATATTGATCCGCGACATTTGTATTCCGAGTAATTTTAATCTACAGTAGAATCGATCGACAATGCAATTAGAATGAATCTCCCACGACTACTAATCAGCTGATCAGTTGATCGTAGTAACATAGTTACATAACAGCTAACGCACGGCATACGTGCTTCGCGTCTATTTATAATATAAATTTGCATACGTACTTTTTAACTCATTCTTTTGAATCTGATATCTGATTTATCTGACCATTTCTTGGTAATTTGTTTCTTTGTTATCATAAATGATTTATTAATCTAAATATTATCTGCACTCGTAAACATTTTGTCTTTTATTATAGGAGATTGAAGACTTTCTAATGATCCACCCTAAAATATTAGAGGCGCAAGTATTTGGAGCGTATGACGAAGTTTACGGAGAAGAGATTTGTGCGTGCATTCTACTTCGCGATGGTACCAGCATGACGAAGCAGGAGTTGAAAGATTATTGTAAAGGCAAAATAGCCCACTTCAAAATACCGCGTTATATAGAATTTGTAAAAGAATATCCAAAGACAACTAGTGGAAAAATTCAGAAATTTCGTTTAAAAGAACAAATGGAGAGCAGAGGTGTAATACCAACGGCGTCAACTCAATCGTGACAATTTTAATTGTTATAATTAGAAATTTGTAAATTAATTATACATTTAATTACAATTATAAAATGTTATGTAACATTTTATACTTTATAATCATTATTTTATAATAAATATATTTATAAGTACAAATAAAAATTTTTTTTTAATTACATAAACTAGTAATAAACATTTTATTGTACTGTAAAAAATTATTCTGTAACTTATTATTAGTTTATTAATCTATATTAGTTATTTTCTATTAAATATTATCTTATATCAAAATTATTATTATTATTTATTATTACAAATTATATATTATAAAATAATAAATTTATTATAAATTTATAAAAATATATAATTTTTTAATATATAAATTTATAAAAATTATTATGATAATTTGTCAAGACCTATGTATTGACATTACTGCGTTGGTAAAACAGCTTCTGGGTAGACTCATACGTTTGTTGTGTACGAGATGCTATTGGATTTTTAAAAGCGATTAAAAATTCATTTTTTGTGATATAGCTGTGAGATTTACGTGAGTCGGATGATTTATACATCATGGCTGAGTATCTGGCGTCAATTTTCGGTACCGAAAAGGATAAGTAAATATCAAATTGTGCTTTACGTAATTGATTCTTACGAAATAGGTTATGCTCAAAATGTAAACTCTTGGTCATTTGTCTTTTTCAGAGTAAATTGCTCGTTTTATTTCAAAATAGGAGCTTGTCGACACGGAGATCGATGCTCGCGAATTCATAACAAGCCGACTTTTAGCCAGGTAAAGTAATGAATAATGCTTGTATATCTTTCATTCGCAATAACATTTGCATATTGATATACATATCTGGAAAAATATTAACAAAAGATACATCATGTATATCAGGATAACTCTTTTGCAAGGCAAGAACATTATTCTGATATTGTAATCATTTTTTGATATCTCTTTAACATAATGCTGCTAATGTATATATTCGGTAATGTAATGCTGCTCATATTCCCAATAAGCAATGTTAGAAATTTGATCAAATTTGTTGTCAATCTGCTAACATTGCTCACATGTTTGACTAACTGATATTTGTGCAGTAAAATTTATGTTTCTTCTGATATATATGTAAAACTTTAACATAAATCATAATTATAGTTTCAATTAATTGAAAGAACATTGATTGCATATGTGTTTCTTATTACGTATGATTTGTTTGTTTCAGACATGTTTGCTACAAAATCTTTATGTAAACCCCCAAAATTCTGCAAAAAGCGCCGATGGATCTCACTGTAAGTAAATTAAATTCTAATAAGAGCATTGCATATACGAAATGAGCATCACATCATTTGAAGCATCTTTCTATTTTACAACAGTGGTTGCAAATGTATCGGATGAAGAGATGCAAGAGCATTATGATAACTTTTTTGAGGACGTTTTCATCGAGTGTGAGGACAAGTATGGTGAGATCGAAGAGATGAACGTATGTGACAATCTTGGCGACCATTTAGTTGGGAATGTCTACATCAAGTTTCGCAGGGAGGAGGATGCAGAAAAGGCAGTCAATGACTTGAACAACCGTTGGTTTGGCGGTAGACCGGTTTACGCTGAGCTTTCGCCCGTTACCGATTTCCGCGAGGCATGCTGTCGTCAATACGAAATGGGGTAATTATAAGCTAATACCATTACAAAAAATGATAGATACAAGGGTATATAGGCAAATGTGTATTTTTAGCGAGTGCACCCGCTCTGGATTTTGTAACTTCATGCATTTGAAGCCTATCTCTCGAGAACTTCGTCGGTACTTGTACAGCCGAAAGAAAGGTAAGGGTCGATCAAGATCACGATCGAGGTCGCGAGGTCGTGATCGCAGGAGAAGATCTAGATCCCGCGAAAGAAAATCCAGATCTAGGGATCGGCGCAAGGGAAGAGACGAAAAAGGCAGGGACGGCAGATCTGGTCGCTACTAATAACATCATTTCATCAATGTATTCGAAACATTTTCTGTTTTTATCTGTTAATGTGTTATATTCCAGTCTCATCTGAATTTATCTCATTTGAAATTATTTTTAAATATTTCTTTATCATATACACAAACATATAACAAATAAAAGATATATAGAAACGTAATACATTAAATAATCGAGTTTCTTCATATTCATTAAAGTTTTGTCATTGTCGCTTACCAAAATGGTATATTGATGTAAGTTTTGTAATCGCGGTATAGACTACACAATAAGTGCTAAGTGTCAAATGTATTTTTGCAATAGGATGTAATTATATTCTTTGTGTATTATTCAATTATTGTTCACAATGATTGACATAAGATTGACATGTGTATTCATAAAATTTGTGTACATTAAAGTTTGAATAAAAATGTATTGGCTGTGTCTTCTAATTTTTCTCTTTCCGTTTTAAAAAATAAACAAGAAATAATAAAATTTAAAATCGGTACTAATAATTCATTTAGCAGTTTATATTTTCTTTTTATATTTTTTGAGATAAGGATAATGCAATTCTTGATATTAATATGTTTGTTAATGAAATAACTGTATATTTGACATTTCAATAATTACTGCACATAAAAATTTTGAAGATAATGATATTTATGAAATATAAAAATATAAAAACAATATTAAATCTCTAATTACGCAAATTCTACATTATCCACGTCTCGTGGTAGAAACTTGTGGTATTCTCCGCAAGATTTCGTTATATATCACATACCATGCATCATAAAGTTTTGCCCTTTATTTTATTACTGCAAAGCCATTTAGTATGAATTATTACTCGAGAAAAAAAAAACACTTGTCGGCAAATGCTAATTTCGAGAAAACTAAGAGAAAAGAATAATTTATTTAAGTTTTAAGATAAACTGTTTCTACACACAAAATATATATATTTTAAAAAAGTACAGTGTTATGTATTATATTCAGTTGCAATAAAATTTTTTATGAAACAGATATTTCAATATTCTAAAAATATAAATCTATAATAAAAATAAATCTATAATAACATTGAATGTAAAATTTTGAAGTAACTTTTAACAACGCAGTTTTTTGAAATAGTACTTTACATTTTTCGCGTAAAATGATTATTCGCAACCCTAGGATCTTCACTTTCTTTTGTTCTTACTTTAATCTGAACGCATACTCATTGTCTCGTGCCGACCAACTGTTGCTCAACAAGTTGTTGAAAGATGATGCGAAAGTACGGCGGGCGTGCGCGCACAGCCGGGCGTAGCAAAAAAATTTAGAAGAAAATAAAAAAAGGAAAAAAAACGCAAAAGGGGGAGAGATAAACCGGAGGTTTTCAAGGAGAATCACGTCGTCTCAAAAATCGGTTCATCCGGACCCGGGCACGTGTTTCAGCTGGGCCTAATTGGCGGGGCTTTCGGACCAGTGGGCCTCTCGCTTCGAGACTTCGAACGGGCGTGCATTACCACAGCAGATGGTGGTCGTGATTGCAGCTGCCTCTGAAGAACACCTGCCTTCTCCTTCAGACAGCTATCGGAGAATACTGATGTTTGTTCTTTTCACCGCCGTGCACTTCACCCGCCGGTTATCTCGCTCTCGAGATTTCACCGTCACCGCATTATCGTTTCAATATGAAGAAATAATCGTTACGATGAAAAATTAACGCACGATGGATCGCGACTGATTTAATGTACTGCGCGTTTATTCGTACCCAAAAGAGTAAGATTGTCGGCAATATTAATGTATACGACTGTAATATAATAACTTAATAAATCATGACTCCGATTCCATTAAACTTGCACATAATCATTCGTTCATATTTATATGTTGAATTCGATTACGAATAAACTATAAATGCATCGCGCCTTTCCGTCATGGTTTAACTATAATGCATTACAGTGAACTCCTAAAAATATGTTGTTGGAAACTTCTTATAAATTTATATTTTTGGAAAGACCTGTTTTTTCATAAGAATTGTGCAACTGAATATAATTACGCTTTCCTATACATATTTCGCACATAACAACTGTTTATTTTAACATTTGAATAAATTTATCGATTTATTGTTTTCTTGATTTCTGCTGCACATAAGAGAAAGATCGGTTTTTATTTAAAAACGTTGTCATTTCTAGAAAATAACACTGTAAATTGCTAAAATTATTGTAGCCCCTAAATATTTCCTCCCCTCAAAACTTTATATATTTTGTATATGTCTTGAATATATTTGATGCGCTATTTTTAAGCACAATAATTGGTTGCTTCCAACATTCATAATGACAGATCACATACATATTAAATATTGCTCGCGCAACAATCTATCGCATTCTATTTTTATATTCCATAACTGGGACATGTCAATCTTCATAAGTGAATAAAATTGTTAACATAATCAAATAATTACAGTGGAATATAGAATCTAAATGTAGCTCAAAATAAATATAGATTTAATTTGTGGTTGAGAATATAACATTATAATTTGTCGTCTGTCTTGATCGTCCGTGGACTAAATGTAGATCGTGCCATGTCGCTCAGTAACAATAAGTAAAAATAATATTAATTATTCCAAGAATATATCCTCCTATTTCTCCGCAAACACAGTGGTTTTAAATCGATAATAAAGATAACAATCAATTAATTAGTATTATTGCAAAATAAAATATATTTTTCAAAAAGTTGAAGATTCTTGCGAGCAAGTGTCATAAACAAATTAATTATAATTAGCAAATTATACAGAATATAATTTACTTATTTCAATTAGTTTTCTGTAGCTATTTCAATACATTTTTCTTCCATCATACTCTTAGCCGTAATAAATTCTGTCAAGAGTTCGTGCGTCACTTGAGCTCGCAATCCCGCGACCCTAAGAGTGCGGATAAAAAATCCTTGAGGGCATCAATACGTGCGGATGCAAATTGAAAGTTCAGGAATGGAGCATGATAGTCCACGAATACCGTAATTAATCCTGGCGATACGCCAGACAGCCTCGTCACAAAAGAGAGACTCGTTTCTCTGCTGCTAGATGACGAGAGTAGGGGAAGGGGGAGAGAAAACAAGAGAGACGCAGGGTGAGAGGAAGAGAGAAGGGTCGGTTCTCGAAATATGCGCGCAGAAAATCGCACGCCCGCCGGGGTCTGATGGGGAACAATGGACAGCCCTGACCGCGATTTCCCTCGTCGGGGAAACGAGCTAACGAGCTGTCAAACGTCACCGAGCCGGAAGGGCCCGAGCGTTGTTGAATGTCGGTGGCACAGCGATGCATCTTCGATCAGGCTCCCGTATCGAGCCTTCCGGAGCAGGACGTGTCCCGTCTTCCGCTAACCGCGACGGAGATTGGCAATTACGCCGACCGAGATCGATTCAATATTGAAAACTGGAAACATTTCAAATAACAATTCGGAGACTTTCCGAGTATCTTGGAAAAGTGCTTGGACGCGCACGCGAAGCGACCGCCAGATCGGAATCCTTCTTACCGCGCATTACGGACGTAGCCGTATTAGCATAAAGTAACGCCGAAGTGTAGCGTTAAGTAACAAATCGTATTATCGCCCGGTCGGTTAATTACTCCGACGCTCTGTTCGCGGTCTCGAACCGGAGAGTAGATCGGCTTAACGGGCGGTACGTGAAAATTGCAATCGAACGTCAGGCGAGTCGCCTTCGCGACGTAAATGATTTATGAAAGCGAAGGGGAAAACGCGAGAGGGCTGTCGAAGAGAACCATTCCATAAAATACGGATAACTGCGTGTTGAACAACGACGAAAGCGAGGGAGAGGAGAGCCAGAGAGAGAGAGAGAGAGAGAGAGAGAGAGAGAGAGAGAGAGAGAGAGAGAGAGAGAGAGAGAGAGAGACGACGACGACGACGACGTACGTACGTACGTACGTACGTACGACGTAGACGAGACGAGAGAGAGAGAGAGAGAGAGACGAGAGAAGGAGAGAGACGAGAGAGAGAGAGAGAGAGAGAGAAAGAGAGAGAAAGAGAATAGAATGTAAAAGAGGGCGCCTTTCAATCCCTCTATATGAGACGGCTCATTCGATGGCGGAAAAAAAATGTTGCGCGAGGACATTTAATCGCGGGGGCCGCCTGCGAAAAGCCCGAACCAAAGACTGGCTTTGAAAAAGAGAGACAGGCGTGTTCGAAATTCGATGCAGAATCACCGGTGATCTTGCAGGTGATCCCGACAAGGACGCCAGCCGCAGAGCTACCGGCCACGTCGAGCGAGGGGATAAAAAAAAAGATAACCGGCGGAAATTTGTAGTACGCGCAACGTGACGACCTAATTGGTATAATAATAAAAATGGCGCGTTTCGGCGTTACCATGCCGGTGAATTCTCGTTTATATGCAAATGCGCCCCGGCCGCGACGGCTTCAACGGCTATAGCCGAACCTCCGCAAAAAGCCGATCCGCTTCTTCCGTTGGCGTTAAAACGATCTAAATGATCTAATCGAGTCCCGACTGAAACTATAACCCGGTAATCTTGCCGATAGGCGTGCACCGTATCGCCATCGTACCGCATAATAACGTTAAAGGTTGATAAGATATTTGCTCAATATTATTTAGAATAAAACGTCTCTCGCAACTCCGCGGTGTCTTTTTTCGAGTCCACACGCAGACGTAAAATTATGCACCGTCGCGTTCTGATAATAAATAAATTAAAATTTCAGTACGCATACATCTGTGTGCGCGATAAAAGCACATCAATACGGTATACATAATGTAGGATGATATATTATTGATTGTACAATCAGTATCAGTGGCACAAAGAATAATGTAAAATTTAAAAAGTGTGAGATAAAAACAGCACTCGAAAATGTAGGATACATTAACTATTTAGTGAGCTTAAACCGTTGATTTATGATAAGTGTACATGAATTATGATTCGATGTATTGCCACGCAAGATTCTCGTTCTAATTTTTTCCTCCAAATTTTGTAGGGGATATTTTTCATCGTATTCATACTACCCTACCCACTTAAAACTACTTGAATAACGTATTTCAAGAATCGGGCATATTCCTCTCGGGATGCGCAGACGGAGCGATATAGCGCCTTCCAGAGATTTATGAGAGACGCCCACGCCGCCGTTCCTCCTCGCTGCCTTAGAAAAGGAAACCAGTTCATCAGAATTCATTGCAATCGGCATAATCGAAATCTGTTTTTGTTCTTCCTTGATTGTGCCGCGATAATGGACAATGACATTGTTAGGGGATGCAAGAAAGGCACGAAGAATGAAGAGAAAAATGGAAAGAGCCGCGCCGTCGAAAAGGGAGACTGTCATCGTCGAGGGTGAAACGACTCCCAAGAAGGAACGAGAGAATAACGACGAGTTTAATATGGCGCCTCGGGGCTCGTTTAATCATTTAATCGAGTCCCCGGCATGCCTCGGTTCTCCGCCGTCGTTTGCGCCTCGCCTCTCGC